AAGAATGCCATCTTGTAGAGCTTGCTTTGCTCTATCGAATGGTACCTTGAAAGCTATTCAGGAATGAAAAATGTATGAGTTGTTGCGGTTGAAATTCAAAACGGACATTAATTTCCGGACAACCTAATAGCATGTGTTGTGAAATATGCCATTTGACAGAATTTGTTCAGCAAATCTGAAAAATTGTGTGCTAGGGTTTTCGTGCGCGCTGATTCTATTACACAACTTTTCACGAGTGTTTAGTGTTTTTAGCTTTTTGATGTAGTCACATTTCTGACAAAAGCTAGGTCAGATATTACGGGTTAAATAGGATAACCTTGGAAAGAAGCATCACATTAAAATGAAAAATTCATATTCGAAATTGGCGTCTTCCATTACCATAGTATGAAAGTTCTTAGGTTGTTTGGTTCTGTTCCGAGGCAGAATATGGCCTACAATGGCCAAAAATCCTTGTCGAAGTTCCTACCGTAATGCTACAGTAATGAAAAGCGGTCGACGATTCGCTCCATACTGTAAATCTAAGTTAAACCTCGCTCTATAGAATGTTGCCGCAAGCTTGGCGAAAGACGTGAAAACAAAGGAGTTATTAACAATCAAGTGTTCATATTTTTTTGGGACACCCTGTATATACATATATTAGGTTGGTCCAAAAGTTCTGTCCCACCATTTTCAAAAAATCGTAACTTCTTCTTAGCACAATGTCTTTGCAAAGTAAAACCATATTAGAAAGAGCAATTCATGTGCTTTCTATATCCTAGATTTTCTGATGTTCTCTTTCTATATGAGCAAAACTCGCGCTGATCGGTCTGTTTTTTGAAAAATTATGATTTGGAAAAAATGTCAAAAAATCAATTTTCTCAAGGAGCTGATTTTTTGGCATTTTTTCTCAGAAATCATAACCTTTTTAAGGAGGGCTCGATCAGCACAAACTTAACTCAGTTAATAATCAAATATAAGAAAAATTAAGATAACGGCTTCTCTGGATATTATCGCGCAGTTTCTAGATTTTTAGAATTTCTGCTCAAATATTCCGAACCTCGGATGTTCTCGTTCTTTCATTTTTATCTATGCAATCTGAACATGCTGGAAAATCTCAGGAGACTTTTGGAAACTACATGCTTTACGCTTTCTAAAAAATTTAAACTGCGCAAAATCGTTATGATGTGAAGAAGTTATGATTTTTTGAAAATGGTGCGAACGAACTTTCGGAACAACCTACTATACAGGGTGTCCCAAAAGTAAGTACACACTTTTCAATCGTCAATATCTCTCTTCCCAATGGGTCTTTTTATGGCAGTCAGGCACCGTTCTGTAGAGGAGGCTTCAACTTAGATTTCCAATATCGATCAAATCACCTATCGCTTTTTGTTGCTGTAGGATTACGGTAAGAACTTCCAGCATGTGGAACCATTGTAACAATGCCATTCGACAAAATTTCTATCAAAAAATCTGAAAAATCGTGTACTAAGGTTTTCGCGCACGCTGATCTCACTACATAACTTTTTGCGAGAGTGTCTAGCTTTCTTGACGGTGAATTCACATTTCTGACAAATACTGGGAATTCGGTTATTAGGGTTTCTTGGCATAATTTTGTAAAGAAACATTATAGTAAAGTGGAAATTTCATATTCATCAGACATCAGAAGCTCCCATCACCATAGTATAAGAGTTTTTGGCTTGTTTGGTTTTGTTCCGAGGCAGAATTTGGCTTCCAATGGCCTAAAATCCTTGTCGAAGTTCCTACAGTAATCTCACAGTAATGAAGAGCGATCGCTGTTTCGTTCAATACTGTAAATCTAAGTTGAAGCCTCCTCTACGAAACGGTACTTCAGCGGCGAAAAAAGGCACAATAGGAAGAGAGATATTAACGATTGAAAAGTATGTACTTACTTTTAGGACACCCTGTATACAGGGTATCCCAAAAAAATGTGCCTACTATTTGATTGCAAATAACCCTCTTGTAATGAAATGTGAGAACTTTAGGTACCATTTTGTAATGAGGTTAAACTTAGATTTACAATATGGAGCGAACGAGTCATCGATCGCTCTTCGTTACTGTAGGATTACGGTGCGAACTTTGACAAGGATTTTAGGCCTTTGGAGGCCACATTTTGCCTCGGAACAAAAGCAAACATGTCAGAAACTTTATACTACGGCAATGGGGCCGTTGATTTCAAATTTGTAATTTACATTTTACTGTGATGCTTCTTTCCAAAGTTATCCAGGTAAATCTTAATGAGCGTATTTGCAGCATTTGTCAAAAATGTGATTATACCGTCAAAGAAGCTAAAAACACTTGTAAACAGTTGTGTAGTGGAATCAGCTTGCGCGAAAACTAGTACACGATTTTTCAGATTTTTTGTTAGCTGTTATTTTTCACGATGGTTCCATATGCTGGAAGTTCGTACCGTAATCCTACAGTAATGAAGAATCTAAGTTTGACCTCGCTCTACAAAAACGTACTTAAAGCTTTTCGAAACACTTCATTACAAGAGAGTTATTCACAATCAAACAGTAGGCATATTTTTTGGCACACCTTGTATATATAATTGAATGGTCTTTCCTCTCTTTCCTTGAAAATTCTAGGTTGCGTCACTGTTCATGTGTGCATGTGTGCGTATGTCTGTTGGTATGTCTGTATGTATGTATGTTCCGAATAAGAGTTCCATTTCTGAATCGGTCCGGACCGTATACTTCGGGCGGGCGGGTGTCTAGTTCTCGTCATTGATCGATATCAATCTAACAATTTTTTGCAAAATTTCGTCCACTGCGAATTGATGTGAGTATGCTAAATACAAAAGTATTACTGACCGAGAGAAGCTAGTTTGCCAGCTAGTGAGTAAGTTAAGATTACGGAACCCTCTGCGTCCTGAGGATCTTTGAGTTGATGCAACTTTGCACTGTAAGTTTCAAAAATTGAAGGACTTTCGAGAAAAATCGCCTTAGGTTCCTCGAAATGTCAGCTGGAAAAGAAGCTGCGCTGAGCACTAAAAGCAGTTGTTCAATAAGATGGAAAGTTCTTATTACTTTTGACTTAGTACACCATCTCTGCAGTGGCAGACCTCGTCCTCCCCCCGCCCTCCCCAAAAAAAGGTCGCGAATTTTTTGAAAATTACTTGCTTGATTTATCAATAACTCAGGTAATTTTCGCTTTTTGAAATTCATTTTAGTTGTATAAAATTTTTTATTATTTTTGAATTGATTTTTTGAAATTCATTTTCGGGGTTCGTATTACCGCCACGATCCCTTCTGTTGAAATTCCAGAAAGATTTATGAAAAGCGATTTGTATACGGCTTGCTATCAGCATGCAGAACGAATCTCGCTTTTGTTCAACTATCCAAGAAAAGAACAAGAACACCGAAAAAAATCGTTTCGAAGGCTGGCCAGAATTATAGGTCTACCTCAAGTTATCCACGAGAATACCTGCTAACTTCCAAAGGTTTTTTCACACAAGGACGTAACCTGGATGTCAAACAAATGCTTTAGCTAAGCTGCGCTTCACCTTCAAAAAAAGCTTTTTTGGCTACAAGCTACTTCCACATGTTTTAGCTTGAAAATTCTGCCATAGCTGGTTTGGAAGTTACAAAGTTAGGCGTGCGCTTAGAAGAACATCTAGCAAGTATAAGATGCAAGAGCTTAGCACCACTAGGAAGACATAAAAACGACGCGCATAATGGAAGTGATTTTGAAATCAAATGTAAGATCTTGACTTGCGAGAAAGAGATCTCGGCTACAAAGGCACGAGAAGCTTTCTGGATTTCCGCCAGAAATCAGAGATGAATAACAAAAACGAGTGCTTGTCTATTACCACCGGCAAAAGTGATCTTCGACTTTGCAAAAGTATGGATATGCTCTCTGCATGAGTTGTAGTGCAAAGATGGATACATGATAATTTTTGAGGCCTAAAACACAATGCTGTTACCAAGTTTGAAAATAGTTTTGCTTTTGCGATTAATTCTATACCAGTTCAAAGATTTAATCTGTCAAAGATACTTTTTCAATGTGAAGCAACGCTGTAAATTTAGTTCACAAAAATTTATAAAGTTGTAAAAGTCTGCAAAAGAGTGCACTGTTGCAGAGGCGAAGAATTTTTGAGTCGGAAATCAGTTGAACAGTCTTCGCGCATTTAGAGCTTGAACAACAGGAGGTTGTGGGATTATCACCGTGGAATGAGTTTAGATATAGGGCTCCGCCAGTGGCGTACCCAGGATTCACGCTCGGGGAGATGGGGGGGGGAAGGGAGGGGGGAACAAAAAATTTTTCCGATGAAGGTGCGTGGCGTTAGCCACCCACTCCGAGAAAATTTTGGGATACGTGCTTTCCAAAATTTTTTCGGGCCCCTGACCTCAAAATTTCAAAAAGAGGGCGTGTTAATTTCAATTTTTAATTTTTGAAAATTATTTTAATTATGTACGAGTAGAAACAAGTTCCCGGCCCCCTCCCTCTCGGTGCACCACTGAGCTCTGCCTAATCTTAAAGGTGGTGAGGTTTAATGCCATTGCGTTGCGGACGTGCAATGTAGCTGTGTCGTGAGCAGCTATCTTCAGCTAACTTTAAAAAGGGTGAGTGCTAACATATTTGCCACCTGTAAGAAAAACGCATAAAACGAAAAGAAGAAAAAGCTTTAAGTAGTTGGGCATGACCCCAACCTCAAAAAATCATGTTCACGCAGAGCTTGTTTTCCCGAAGAGTCTACGAAAAAATATCTAGTGCTGGTAGATTATAGCTGGGACCTTCATACGGTTATACTTATGGTGCAAATGCTCGATAGGTATGTTTGTCTATTTATCAGCTCTCGTTGTCTGGAAGCTTTGAAAATAACAGGACAAACGAGTTGTGTCGTGCGTGGTTTTACAAGTAAACGGTCATTACTATTTAAAAGGTTTTAGTTTAACGTTTTCTTTGTGGGTAATGGAAAAAATACTGTCCGAAAAAAGTTATAAAAATCTGCTAGATTAGAGTTACAAAGTGAGTTTTACCATGATCAGAGGTGCACCTACCGATGAGTAGCTTTCATTCAATTTTTCAAGCGTTGTTGACTGTAGTTCTGCTTCGGAGAAACATTCGTTGATATATCGAGCCAGAAAACGCATACTAACTGCATCTTTCAATAGTTTTTGTAGATAGCATGTAGAATTTGTCCTTATGCATAAAGCTATAGCCTAAATAAAATAGCTGACCCAAATAGAAGGAGAATAATCAGTCATGCCAGTAATGGTGGAGCCGACATTACGAGCTCAGCTAGTTGTTCACACGCAACAACCTCATTTTCTCAACACTGCAAGTGCATCTTGGGTGGAAAGTTTGCTCAACTTTGTGCCATCTGCAATGACTGCAAAATCCAACTAGGGCGCAATGACGCTAAAGTGAGCGAGTCGAAAAGCATAAATTTACTTACAAGTAAAAGCCGTTCGCGAAGGCAATGAATTGCTACTCTATTCTTTTTTCGCGCGCATTCTCGGTTTTCCCTCGGTTCTCTCTTTTAATCATGGACTGTCTTTGATTGATCAAATGCATCGCATTCCGCACAAAACGCGGACGGCTTACACCCTTTCATACCTCAAAGGCAGGTCCACCCAAATTCTCGAACACGCCCACTCAAAAGGGAGGAGCCAAGTGGCAGATTTATGACCCGAAGCTAAATTTGGAGCAAATTTCTTGCTTGAGAAGCAACTTTTGACAGCGCGAGTTGGGGTACAATTGGGGTCCCTGCTACTGTGATGCATTAAAATCTTATCGACCTCCTTTTGGGTGAACGGTGTCCTCAAAACCTACTGTCAGCAAACACTGGAGACGTACGCGAGTAACTGATGATTGCACTGTGTTTACTGAATACAGGTCAGAGCATTACATGTAGACGACGCGAGGCTGGCTCTTGCGCGAGGCTCTATCGAACAGCGCTGTCATTTTGTTAGCCGGAAATTGAAGAAATTGAGAAGACGCAACTAATAAAAGTTTTCAACGCAAATCTGCTGCCGTTGTGAAGGTGCGCATCGTTGCGAGGCGTTAGAGATTTTTCTTAAAATTGAACAGCACAGACACGCCGAAGGACTTCGTGACCCAAAAGCTATAGCAGTACTGCATATTGCCTGAGAGTATCTTGCGGCATAAGTTACGTTTTCTGACATAGGCAGGCTGCTGAGCGGTTCGCTTAAAAAATCGGAAAAAGTGCGTTCTATACTCGTGCGATTAAGGTGCTACTCCCCACAATATGCTAAAGCATGCATAGACAATAAACCGCGAAATCGTTCAATGGCGAAAATCTTTTCTTTATCACAAATTCGCAGTGGCAGCTCTAGAAAAAATGCGTTGGACCAATCTAAAGTGTAATCTAACTTTAGGAACAAGCCACACTGAGTCATTTCTTAGAATGTAAGAATGTGGAAAAGCAGTAGAAGACCTTTAGTAGTTTACATATTGGATCACTTTCAATCATCCCGCATCAATCTGCATACCAATAGGTTTCCTCCGATGCAAAATCTTATGAGTCAACATTACTTTTCAAACGAGATCCATTTAGATTACATCTACATATGTTCCAAACTTGTAAAACAGTGACCACGCATACGCTACTCTTTCTTTAGATGGATTTCTTTTTTGATTTGCAACAAACATTAAAAATGATCTCACCAGTTTGAAATTTTGATGGAAGGTGTAGGCGATGCTTAACGAGGGAGACGGATGTGAGAACTGCAATAATTCGTAGCATCAGTGCAGGTTTAGACAAATAAATCTACATTGTTGATTTGAAAAGCAGCTTGAAGAAAATATTGAAGAAAAGTTATCAATATTTAATCTTTCAAGCTTTAAATCAAGCAACCAAGTTCCTTTTTTTTCTCTAAACATGGACAATCAATTGGTTGCACAACGCATATACTATGACACCAGATTTAGTGTATACACGCACAAGGACGATAAAAAAGAGCACTTGGCCGCACTGATACGTCCCGAAGTACAGGCAGTTTAGCGCAGCGCTCAAACAGCGCCAAAGTTGGTTGAGGTGGCTGCAAATGCGCATCAAGCAGGCGTATCGATCTTACATAAAAAAACTTATGACCGTTCAAAACTGTTTTCCATGTTCCTTTACCATCTTGACTTAATTCTGTTTGCTTTTAGTGTTAGAAGAATTCGTAAATAAGGCGAGCTGAAGAATAAGGTATTACTTCGATAGTCTGAAGATGGGGCTCCAATTGAGGTTGTCTTAATATCTGCCTCTCATGAATAAAATTTGTTTATAGAAAATCAGAGAAGAGGAAAATGCATAACAATTAGCAAAAGCAAACAAAGTCTTTGAAATTGGCTGAAAACGCTGCAATGTGTTCACCTTCAATTCGGTGGCATCTCAATTTGCAGGTTTTCGCTATGACCAGGCAATCCATAATAACGGGGGAAATGAGCAAAAGTAAAATTCTGAATGTTTCAAAAACAACTGTTCATTATATACTGAAGGTTTCAAAAACTTCAGTATAAACATCAGTGGTACTTTTCCGTTATCCGGACCCATTTTTCTGACGACTCTTATAAAATACACCAGTGCGTCACCTCCGCTTTGTGGAGGTTCGCACTGGCTCTCCTCTCCGTTTTCCTTTCTCATGTACGCATGATGATGACTTTGAAACCCACCATGCGATGCTGAACATCACAAATGTAATAAACAACTGTTCATTCTTGAAGCATCTCCACGAAAGATCGGTAATTTTGAGAGAAAAAAAACTTGCCGCAAAATAACACTTGCGAATTTGATCAGATTACTGAATTTGTTTTGGCTTAGTAGTCGTCATAAGGATAATAGTCACTTTGAGCTAAATTTCCGTGCAAAAATCTTTCCAAGTCTGAGGGTAAAACCTTGCCAAATTGACTGTCTAAGCGATCACCACTTCTTGGCGCTGTTGTCGCAGAAAAGGAAATTTTTTGAGCACTTTTTGGGCTAGAACTCATGAGGCGCAGATGTACTTGTCAGGCAAATCATGACTTCGCAAAAAGTCGAATCAATGACCTAGTTTTGGTGCCGAAAGCCGCGTAGGCCCGTTTGACGAGCAGTTTTCAAAGGTCCCAAATATCGGATCAGCTTGTGCTTCTGCACTTTTTACCTACATGCTGGTAGGGTGCTATAACCAAAATTTCAGCTCAAGACCTTGCCTACAAAACCCTCTATGAATTTCGTGACAGACAGACATAAACACACACACAGACAGACACACACGCGCTTTATTATAAGTCATGATTCTGTAGTCCAAGTACAAATTTTCATAGATTCTGAGGGCTGCCTCCCCGCCACGTGTCAGGAAAAAATTGACACGCTCTTGTCCACTTTGACATGTTTTTTTCGAAATCATTTCCGGTGAGGTGAAAGAGCATTTGTAACCACTTAAAAGCTGTTCAGCTTATTTATATAAGAGCAAAACAATCTAGAACCATTACTAGAATATCTTGATTGCTTCTAGCAATGATTCAAGATTGTATTTACTTTCAGCCCTGCGAGTTTAGTCAGGAAAGTCTACAAATGATGGCTTGAAGTAGTAACTCGCTGCTGCTTTTCGCCGCTTAGATGATAAAACCCTGGCGCACTTCTCTATTCTGGGCATGTCTAGTATGTTCATTGGTAACAGGGCAACGTTATTATTATAACAATGTCATTTTGAAATTGTTTAATCGAAAATAGACTCATTATTCTCCAAAAAAGGCTGAAATTATGTCGCTTACAGAGCAACACGAAGTTTTGGTAAAACTTGTAAAACATGTTGGTGGCATGTCAAATTTTTTTGACACGTGGCAGAAGGTTGACACTCAGTTATGAAAGCAAAGTTCTGTTTTACTAATCGTAATGCACGTCAAAGTTAATCTAATTTCTGACCTTTGAGTTTTTACCATCTCCTCGTAGTTTTTTTCTGGCGACGTTGCCAGCTTTGTTCCGCTCATAACTTTGAGCAAGATGCCCCAAACGTAAAAATACTGTGCAGTAAGTTTAGAAAAAGCCCGTGAAAAAAGTATTTTTAGAGCTTCTTATCAGCTTCTTTATTATGGCCAAAAAATAAAGCACTGCATCGTTGGGTTTATTATGTACAGCACTGTATGGTTTTGTTCATTATGTACTAAAGCAAGACCTATATTTTTCTAATGACAAGCCTCACAGCCACAAATTGGTCAGCTTATTTTTTTGAGTACGTTTGTGTTAGATTGGCTCAAAAGTTCTCGGACATTTTCAAATGAGACCTGCTATTTCTCGAAACGTAATGCATGTACATCCCACAGGAGTACCTTCGATAGAGCAAAGCAAGCTTCACAATTGGTGTGCAAAAGTTTGCACCACCTTGACCCCCTCCCCCCCGTAAGTTTGCATCCAGAGTCTAAGTCGTGTTGAAGAAATTGGGAAAAATTCATACCTTTGTTCTGAAAAAAACCTTTGCACCTCGAAGTTGCCAAGCACATTGCATACCACATCAGGCTTTCATATGTACCGTTCCTGTATTTTTCTTCATCCGAAAATCGAGAAAACGGAAGTTCTCATGTTTATACAAAAACGAGGCTATGCTGTTTCCACTCATGTACTTTATAGTACAAACCATTCAAAGTATAACCGTAAATTTTTCAGCTTTCTACAGACCCTAGTTTCAAAAAATTACCAAAATGAGCTCTTTCGCTTAGATGATAAATGCTGAAATTAATATTATTCGAAAACTAAGGCTTGAGGAAAGAAAATTTTACGGCTACACTAGTAAGGCTTGTATTATACAGATGCGTGGGTGGAAACAGCACAGATTCGTTTTTGTATGAGCACGAAAAATTACGTTTTCTCGCCTAGATGAGGAAAAAAACAGCATTGATACATATGGATGTCTGATGTGGTGTGCAATTTGCGTGAGCAAGTTGGAGATTTATAGGGTTTTTTTGGAAGAGAATATAAATTTTCCCAATTTTTCGACGCTTCAGTGACTCAGATTCTGGGTGCAAACTTACGGTGGTTCGAAGCTGGTGCGGTCATTTGCATACCTTCTTGTAGAGCTTGCTTTGCTCTATCGAGTGGTACCTCTGTCGGATTTACATGAATCAAGTTTCGAGAAATAGCAGATCTCATCCGGAAATGTCCGACGATTTTTGAGTCAACCTAATAGTAAAGAATATTAGAATCGTTTGAACATGAACAACTTGAATTTGCGATTTTTAGATCATCACTATGAAGCCCTTAGTTTTGGCACATTGCCGTTTTCAGCGACGTATTGATCCGCTGCCTCGAGACTTAAGGGCCGGGCATACTTTACGCGATTTCAGTCGCGACGCGATTTGGCAATTTGCCAGAAGTCTTCAGATCCAACACTAGCAAACTGCACATGCAATGCGTATAACTCACGCGGATTGATAAAATGCCCTATATTTTGTGCATATAAAATGTGCTTACAGTGAATTATGGACAGTTGAAGTATTGCCAAATCGCGTCGAGACTGAAATCGCAGAAGTATGCCCGGCTCTTTACGCAAAACTTAATAAAAATGGAATGAAACACTTACTTTCATGACGGTAGTGTCGTTATCACGGAACAAAAACATTGGCATCAGCCACTCGGTTGTTGATCCGTTTTTATTAAAGTAGATGAGGAGATCGACCAAATCGCGTTCATAATCTGATCGATTATAGTACGATATATTAGCATCAATCAGAGGGAAAAGACCAAAATTCTGGAAAATCTTACAAAAGTGCACATGACCGGTGCCCTTTGCAACGACCTATAAATTGATCTCGGATATCTATTACGAAAAATCTATCTCATCTATCGTCACAATCTTCCTCTACCTTCTCCTGCAACTCCTAATCTTGAACACTCAGACAATCTCAAAGAATTTTCGGGGCAAACTGAGTTTCTAAAACTTCCGGGGCGAACACATTCCTACTGGTCCGTGTGGCATGGGCTCGCCCTACCTGGCAACTTCAATGGAAATGTTGCCCTTAAGTTCTAAAAGCTCAGTTCACCCCGGAAGCTTTTTTGGGATTGTCTAAGCATTTTTTTTTCATTCTGCTCTTCACAAAGTCTTCTAACACTTTAACGTTCACGTTTCAAGCAAATTATATGTCGAAGAGTTTCTCCTTAGACTTTTTGATGCATTTTCAGCATTCTGAAGGTATAGTATGTACAATCTGCCCCACTCCTAACCAGGCCAAAATCGGCATGGCGGGAGTCCGCGCCGCGTGGGTTTCGCGCCACATCTGCGGCTAGCTGGTCTATTCTCTCCTCGATCTCTTAACTCTCTGCGACAGCGCGCGTATGCAGCGCAATCCCCTAGCGCTGCGAGCGCGCAAATTCAGCCGACGGTTCGGCCTGATCCCGATTGGGGCAGACTGTAGCATTTTCTGCCTAAAAGCTTGCAAATCAATTTGTGCACTCCGTAGAACTGTTAGAAATCGCTGCTTTTGAATGTATAAGTAAAAACTTTAAAGATACGTTTTTGCAGGTAACATAGGAACGTGAGTTTTTTTAACGTAAACGATTTGTAAAACTGGACTTACTCGAATCTTTCCGATCACTGTCTGGATATATCCAGCTTGTGATTCCCATTCTTCATGGTTTCGCAAGCAACTCATGTAATAATGCTTCGACAAATTGAACGCTTTCGATGGTATTCCACCTTCGTCGGTCAGTAGCCCTGAAATTTTTACCAGCACAAGCCTTTACACCTAACACGTAAGGTGCTAATTGTAAGAATTCGCATCTACCTGCAAATTGGCTGAACAACAATGCATACTCTTCCTACTAACCTACGCTTGATTGGCTTTTTGATGTCAAGTAATCGCCAAGCTTTCAAAGTCTGTTTTTCTTTGCTTACTCATTGAAATCTTCTTTCACTGCCGGAAGGGGGTTGCACAATTTGTTTTGAAATTGCGTCATAAAGGGATTTCCTGCGTAGGCTTGCAAAAGGTGTCAGTTAACGTTTTTGTAGAAGTTACCAAGCGCCAATAAATACCCGAAGTAACTTTTAACTACGACTTTAACTGTCCTTCTGAATAAAAGTTTCATACATTTTCAGTATCGACACTACATCTAAAAGCTTGAATTTAAATAAATAGTTGTTTACGATTCATTTGTGACGACACAGCACCTTTCGGTAATCAAAACGAATTACATTGTGCGAGCAAGAAAAAGACGTGGAGGTAGCGGAACCAGCTCGAATCTTTGCGAAGCAGATTTGACGCAATGTTGAAACCATATAGTGAAGCTTGTGGAAACGCATGACTCCCGAAACGTACCTCTGGATGAATATCATCCTGCAGCTTTTTAGACAGTGTAAAAACAGCTGCAAGGCAATCAAAAGAGAACAAGCTTGGTGTGCATTTGGGTCCTGTCCTTTTGTCTTATTCTTCATCATAGTTACGAATGCCGCATGGCTCTTAGACGTCAACCATCATAAACACTTCTATAGGTGTTACATTGAGTTTGTATGAGTTACAAAACTGCGAAGAGGTTTGAACAGATAGCAGGAAACACAGTAGAAAGCCTGATTAAAAATTTGTGCACAAGCGAGTGCCCTTTTAGATGGCTACTAAATCGGACCCTCATTCGTTCAGCAGCATTGTGTGGATGTGATTGTTTGTCTTGAAATTAGTTGTAATTGTGTGATTGTTTACCTTTTTGTAAAAGTAAAGCACTATTTGTTTCATTTCTAAAAAAAATGCCTAAAATAACTGCTGCAATATTCTCACGTCGCAGAGCATTACGCAGTGGAAGCAGTAGATAAGGGAACGAGGAAACTAAAGTGCGGTGCAAGGAACATGACAACCAAAAAGAAAATCCTTCTTGGGGAGCAGCACCTGCAGATATCATCCTCAAAAAGCGTATTCTGGGAATACATGTTATGATAAAAAATCGCATTTTAGCTTATGCAAGATAGCCTCACTAGAGTCTCATTTTTTTGAGCGGACTTTTTCGAAGTTTTTGATAATCAGCTTCACTTTTCACTTCTCAGCAAACCAATGCAGATTCAACCAAACTTATTTCTATGTTTGACGACTAGTCAAAGAGCCGATGGTGATCGTAGATGTTTAGCTAGCTTTTTGCATGATTCTTACTTGTAAGCAGAAACAAAAGCGCTTGTAGAATTCCCTCTCAAATAATAATGCGGCCTTTTAAACATGTCAGGTCTTGGTTGCCCGGCAAAAGTGATTTTGCTGATTTCTTATCAAATCCCATGTTATGATCATGATATATGGAAAGCCGCATTTTGGGGTGCTTATTGCCAGACGGATCCCACATTCCAAAGATTCAGACTTTAAAAGTTGCGAAGAAATGAAGGAAAGTGCTGAGTCACGTAGCAAATCGAATAAAAATTAAAGTTGAAGGTTCCTCATTCTCTTATCTAGTTACAGTCGGTCAATTAGCGCCTTTCAACCGTAGTTGTTAGTAAGGCTACTGCATGACAAAGGCACAGAAGCAGTTTTAGTTGAGCGGGCGCGAGTGCGGCGCGCACGTATCCTCACCGTTGTTTGTAAATCTTGCACCTCATGCGCTCTGCGGCTAATAAAGCCGCGTTCGCGCTCACAGATATTGCGAGTTCGTTATGCATCAGCCTACACATTAAAAACTCGAAAATCCCCAGAAATCCAAAGGCACGCCTTTCACCAGGCATTTTTTGAAAGGATCTCAGACACGTTATACAGGGCATCCCAAAATAATGTGCACACTCTTTTATTATGGAGTCTTTCGAGAAGCAAAAAGCAGCTATTTGTAGAACTGACTTCAGCTTAGACATACAGTATAGATTGAATCGTCCATCTATCAGTAGAAATTGGTAGACTACGGTAGATTGAAAGAGGGTTTTGGGCCATAAAAAGCCATATTTTGCCTCAAACAGGAATCAAAACAGCCTGAAAACTTTTTCACTAGGCCAATTAGAGTTGCTGATTCCAACTTTGAAGTTGACAACTTATCATGATGCTTCACTGAAGAGTTATGCGAGGTAAGCAGTAGCGGTCATTTTCTTAATGTTCCAAAAAAGTGCAGTTACACCGTTGAGGAGGCTTCGCAAGCTCGAGAATAGTTGAGTATTGAATTCAGCGTCCCTTAAAATCCTATTACCCAAGTTTTCAACTCTTTTTGAAAATTTTTGAAACGGCTGCTTTTTCCACAGTGACACCATATGTTCCAAGTTTCTACCGTAATCCTACAGTAATGAAGAGCGGTCGGTGACTCGCTCTATACTGTTAATCTAAGTTAAAGCCAGCTCTACAAAATTTTGCTTACCGTTTCATAATAAGAGAGTTATTAACAATCAAACAGTGTGCACATTATTTTGGGACACCCTGTATATTTTGTGAAAGCAGAGGACAAAGGTCCGATAGTCCTATTTCCTTTTACCAGCTGTCCAGCTACAATTATGAATTTTTTATGTTACTCGTAAGTGTTCAGAATCACTAAGCACACCTTTTACTAGGTACTTCTATGAACGGACTCTAGGGAAAGTATTTTCCCCTTAAACCAGAAGAGAACGTTGTACCACGGAACTTCTCAGACACTCGCACCGGCCGGCGACCGTCCGACGAGCGTCTGGAACATCACCGATATTTCGGCCGAGCCGGTCGCGGGCCGGACGCCAGCCGGTCAGAAATTCGCACCGGCCGGCGACCGTCCGACGACCGTCTGGCGGGACAGCGTGATCGTCTCAGCCGTTCGTGGCGCGCTCGCCAGCCGGTCATGGAACGGTCGTCGGCCGGAGATGGCTAGCTCGCCAGCCGGCAGAGAAAACGTCGCGCGCGGCAATTCGACACCGCTTTCACGCTCTAGGCTACCCAACCACTTCTGGACCATACTTTTTGCTTATTCATTCTCTAATTTGCATGTTTTCTGTTTGATCGTTCTGTCTGTACACCAAATTTCTCAAAAAATGATAATGTCTTCATTTGAATCCTTATCTAAACAGTAGCAATTGAAATGCAACAATTATGAGAAATACAAACACAATACATCTAAAACCATACAAATGAACAAAACAGGGAAACAACTTGAATGCGCAATGCGCATTGACATCAATTCACAAGTTTATCGAGTCCACCTATATGATGAGATCAAATGTGGAATCGAGAGAATAAGGCAAGATAGGAATCATTGGTGTGAGGCAACATAGAGTGAGGCATGCCTGCTAACGGTCATATAGCCCGGTTCTCTTGGATCAAAAAAGCCCAAAATGGTTTGTTGTTTCTGTTCTTTTTGTTGTTTCTGAAGTCAATTCCTTCCGAAACTTTTCCTCGAGCGACAGAGAACAAACATACACCGCGGCTGCTGTCACATATGCATCTACATACCTAAATAGAAATAAATCTAGATGTCATCAATATGGTACTATCAAAAACCTACTTTTCCAAGGCCACTGATGTTTCGAGAGCATCATTAGTTTCAATAAATAGGAGCTTCGATTTCATCAACTCGTCGATAACATGCTAGAAGTACTTGATTAAAAGCAGTACAGAAATAGCACATTGTTCACACACAAAGCAATTCGCCCACCATGAAGACAAATCTAGCGCAAGCAAAAGAGAAGGCTGTTTTAACCTAACCTCTTCATTCGCACTTTTAAGTGAACTGTACCGAAAAATATGCAAACCTTACCTGATCATTACCCCTTGCCACTACTAATGGACTCAAGCAAGGCCGAGCTAACGTCATTTTAAGGCTAGCCATAACAGCTGGCTCAAAGTCCAAAATTTTTGGATACGTCTCCAATGGTGATAGCGTTCCGGAGGTGATTACTACCTACAAAAACCATAAAAGGATATGCTCACGATCACTTGTATTTTGCCTACACCATACCGTTTGAAAACGTTCCATTAGTGGTCAGATAGCGATCGAAACATCCATGCATGATACGGTCAACTGTCCAGGTGTGCTTCCCTCGCTCGCTTCAATATTGATAGAATAACCTAAAGTTACTGTGTACTAATTTTCGACAACAACTTAGTTATTGATAGCTTTTAAAGGTGAGGCACCTTCAAATCAGTGCTGACTAGCGTAAAAAGGATGGACATTTGCATCAAACAGTGGAAGGTCGAGACACTTGCTAGCCCAAGGGTTCGCATGAAATTATCAAGTCGCTCAACACACAACCTTTACAAATGCTATTGTGTAACTAATAAAAGAAATGTAAATGAACTTAATGGCCTACCTCAAAGGCTTTCCATCAACGTACAGCGAGTTCAGGCAATAAAACAAACAGTAAACAGTCCTAAATCAAGATACATAAAGAAAAGATACAAAAATCAAACGTATTTGCTACTCACTCTTTCAATACAACAAATACTCCAGCTAGTGAATTGTTCATTAGCTTGAAGGGATCTTAGGATGTATCACAAGCAGATTATCACAAGTAAAAATTGCGGTCTAGCCTTGCTCCAAACACGACGCCGCCATGCTTTGGGGTCACTCTAGAAGAGAAACCATTACCCGTCGGAATCCGGCGCTGACCTTAGCTACAGTATATAGCTAACGCGACCATAAAAGGCGGCCCGGCTGCCTCTTACTTTTTCGTTGATCTTACTTATCAGAAGATAAAGTGGTCCTGCATTTGATATGATGTGTTGTTTATTCTCTGGGTCGTAAATATGACTAATCCTTTCGCTATCCGTATTCAAGTAATGAATGGGGAACTGAGTTTGCTAACAACTGATGTTGGTGGATGACGTAGAAGTATCACTTACGAAGTCTTTTTGTTGTTAAGAATTTGAAAACAAGACTGTCATTGGTAGGGATGACTTCATCTCTCCCAACAATGTACACGTTTTGGGAAGCAGAAGTCTTCTAACTCCATCGAATAAAACCCTTTTATTAGGTTGATTCATAATTAATGCACGTTTTGAATTTCAACCGCAATAAGTCAAACACTTTTCATTCTTATATAGGTTTCAAAGTACCATTGGATAGAGCAAAGCAAGCTCTACAAGATGGCACTCATGCCTTTGCGCCATGCCCAATCCACGGAGAGTTCGAACTCAAAATCTAAAGATTTCCAAATGCCCAAAAAATCGAAAAAAATCAGATCTTCGTCCAAATAATTTCTACGGACCTCCTACTCGCTCACATCAATACTATCGCTATCTGATATCCATATGTGCGATTGCCGTATTTTTCCCTTGACTAGAAATTGAGATAACGAAAATTTCCCTGGTTTTCTCAAAGCAATGCTGAGCCGTTTTTGCATACGTGGTTCTATACTACAAGCCTAGGTAAGTATAACTGTAGATTTTCAGCCCATTCCAAGCGGTAGTTTTCGAAAAATAACGAATTCGGATTTTTTCGTTTCAGTTTCAGTGCTAAAATCGACATTTCTCGAAAAGTACCGTTCGAAATAGGCTGAAAACCTACAGTTATGCTTACCTAGGCTTGTAGTATAGAACTGCATATGCAAAAACGGCTCAGCATTGCTTTGAGAAAATCAGGAAAAATTTCGTTTTCTCAATTTCTAGTCAAGGAAAAAATACGGCAATCGCACATATGGATATCAGATAGCGATAGCATTGATGTGAGCGAGTGGGAGGTCCGTAGAAATTATTTGGACGAAGATCTGATTTTTTTCGATTTTTTGGGCATTTGGAAATCTTTAGATTTTGAGTTCGAACTCTCCGTGGATTGAGCATGGCGCAAAGGCATGAGTGCCATCTTGTAGAGCTTGCTTTGCTCTATCCAATGGTACTTTGAAGCCTATATAAGAATGAAAAGTTTATGACTTATTGCGGTTGAAATTCAAAACGTGCATTAATTATGAATCAACCTAATATTAGGTTGGTCCGAAAGTTCGTTCGCATCATATTCAAAAAATCATAACTTCTTTCCTTCACAACAATTTTGCGCCTTTCAAATTTTATTAGAAAGCGTAAAGCATGTAGTTTCCAATAGTCCTCTGTCGAATTTCCAGCATGTTCAGATTGCAGAGATAAAAATGAAAGAACGAGAACATCCGAAATTCGGAATTTTTGAGAAAAAATTCTAAAAATCTAGAAACTGCGCGATAAAATCCAGAAAAGCCATTATCCTAATTTTTCTTATATTTGATTACTAACTGAGTTAAGTTTGTGCTGATCGAACCCTTCTTTTGAAAGTTATGAATTTTTGAAAAAAATGCCGAAAAATCATTTTCCCAAGGATTCCTAAGAAATCGATTTTTCGGCATTTTTTTCAAAAAATCATAACTTTGAAAAAAAGAGCTCGGTCAGCACAAACTTAACTCAGTTAGTAATCAAATATAAGAAAAATTAGGATAATGGCTTTTCTGGATTTTATCGCGCAGCTTCTAGATTTTTAGAATTTTTTCTCAAAAATTCCGAATTTCGAATGTTCTCGTTCTTTCATTTTTATCTCTGCAATCCGAACATGCTGAAAGATCTTCAGGGGACCATTGGAAACTACATGCTTTATGCTTTCTAATAAAATTTGAAAGGCGCAAAATCGTCGTGAAGGAAAGAAGTTATGATTTTTTGAAAATGGTGCGAACGAACTTTCGGACCAACCTAATATATTCTGGTGAAAAACATTGGGATATCTCGATAATTATAAATTCCTGAGATATCCTAGAGAAACATCAGTTCCTTAGTATTTGCACGTTATGGTATATTGAGAGAGCATCCAAGATGAGGAGAATTTTCAGTACCGTGGCAAGACCAGAGAGTAAACAAGACAAATCGTATTTTAAGGATGACCCAATGATGTGGTAAGTAAGATTTATACATAATAAGTAAGATTCATAGCCAAAGGAAAAATAAGAGGCAGCTGGGTCGTTTTTTATGGTCGCGTTAGCTGTATACTGTAGCTAAGGTCAGCGCCGGATTCCGACGGACAATGGTTTCTCTCTAGAAGTTTGAGGTATGAGTTTATTGTAAAAACATGAAGCATAAAGCATAAACAGCATAACATAACGGCGAGACAAGGCGAGACATACGTAAACACGGCACAAATAAGTGGAAAACCGGAACATTAATAGAGGAAGTGACACCTTCGATAATAAGGGAGAATTAGTTGAAGGGAGGCTGGAGTTTGGCGGGCTCAATCATGCGATGTTTGAATTTATTTTCTTACTGTATGCGCAGTCCTTCGCGCTGCTTGTGTTTTTGCACACTCGAACGGCCGCCGGCCGGCACGATCACATCGTCCGCTCGCCGGCCGGTCTTTAGCCCCGCCCTAAAAGTTGGCGCGGCCGCCGGCCGGAAGGCCGTCGTCGGACGGTCGCCGGCCGGTGCGAGTGTCTGAGTTTCCTCGCTGGCGTTGCTGTGCATCTACAGAAGTTACTACTTTTTTCCGCCTGGAAGTTCGTGACTGTCTACAAATTTTCTTCCTCGTTTCCGATAGACAAGCATTTTCCATCCAAATATTAATATAATATCCCCTTTGCTTAACCCTATTCTACTGTTGATTTTTTTCTCGGCTTTTGGTGAAGGTGGTCGCCTTGGTTCCGGTTCAGATGTGAAGGAGGGGGAGGGGGAGAATTCCCAATTATCGCACCTATGCCTCCAAGAATGGGTCGCAATATTTTGAAAAATTATTTAATTGTGTCATAAAAATGTGCAAGCGACTTCTTTATACTTGTAAATGATTGGAAAAACTTACGAAAATTTTTAAGGATTCAAATTAGCCTTGCAAAAAAATTTTTTCCGGGGACGAGCGACTCTAGTTTGTTAAAGGTTTCAAATATTTGGTATAGCACATTAGTCTGGTATACAATAAATTTCTTACCACCTTTCCTCGAAAGACAAAAACAAAAACTACAAAGATTCAGTGATTTTTTGCGTTTATATTAATTCTGTCCGAAAATTAGTGAAGTTGTGACCAATCCTTTAATAAATCAAAATGACCATAGACAGAGAATCTAATAAGTGATCGACGCAAACCCTTTTTTTCTAGCAGTAATGCTTTTGTCGGATTCTTTCTATATTGCTCAAGTAATCATCAGAAACTCTAATCCATGGTTTTCGCTTACCTTAACTTCAGCTGATATTGAAATTCAGCTCTTGGAAAAGCTACAAACAGTTGGTTAGAGTAAGTAAAGTGCAATACTTTACATTTTTGAAATTCATAGCTGGACTCTATGAATTAAGAAATTTTTTGGTACAACAAGTTTCAAATTCTAACGCTACAAACCTTATGATAGGAAAGGGTTTTGAATCTTGACATCTACCGCATTAAGTCATACATTTCTCAACTTCAATTAGGATGCAGGGTTCCGTTGATAAAGCAATGGAAGTCTTATAAAAAGTAATGTAGTTGTATGCGCCAACTTCAGTATACCTCGAGCAGCCGAAATTGAGAAGCTTCGGACACCAAACTCAGATTCGCTCACGAATATACACAAAAGAAATGCATATGTGTTGTTGCTTTATTTATTTTCGTGCTAAAATGAGAAAATTACAATTTTTGCGCTTTCAAAAGGCGTTGTTGCGCTGTTTTCATTTTTACACGATGTGTATAATGCAGGCCTTAAACACCGTCCACCCAGAACGGAGGTTGACGAGATCATGATGGCATACTAGCGTGAGCCCCAAACATTCAAACCCTCAAGTTGCGCAGCAAAAGAGAAAGAATGCTTCCGGAAAAATTCGCTCCGGGAGGGACGTAATCTGGTGCTGGTCACTCCTCTTCAGCTGGTCTTCCCGCCTACTTTGCAGATTTGCATATGCGGCCCGGCAAATATCGGCGCCGCAGCACCTCGACTCGCATTGCACCGTTCTCCAAAACGGGGTTTGGGGATTTCGCGGATTATCGACTACATATTCGGAGCTAGGACCCTCAGAAGGCCTGGAAGCGACAAAAACATGGAAGTCGAGAGTTTGAGTGAACGGTGCCTTTGAAAAATACAGTACTAAATTCCCGGTTCAGCTTGCGTAAGTAACCCGACTATTGCAGCATCAGAGCACACTTGCGTTGTCGTAATATAGGTTGCTACATGACGAAGGTGCAATACCCTTGGTCGCGAACGCGGCTTTATTAGCCGCAGAGCGCATGAGGCGCAGGATTTACAACGGTGAGGATGCCCGCACGCAGCGTTCGCACCCGCTCAATCCTTACTGCTTCTGCGC